AGCCATGCTGGCTGGGGAATTCTGGGAGTTGAAGTCCACCCATCTTAAAGTTGATAAGGTTGAGAAACCCTGAACTAAACGCTACCTCCCTGATTTTGGATATCTACAGAAGCATTTCCTGTCCCTGGTAGGGGACTCCAGAGACAGAATTAGGAAAGTTGGCAGGCTGATCTGTATCTTGCTGTTGTCTTCCCTGGCTGCATCGGGGCTCCCTGCCCGCACTAGGGGACCGGAGGGCCCGGGCAGGCACTTGGGAGAGAGGTTGGGCTATTAGAAAGGACTTTGCCTTGCAGGAATCCTTGTCGCTGCCTTGGGAATAAAGAGGGGGTGAGGGTGGGTGGGCAGCGCTTTTCACCCTCTCTGCCCTTCCTCACTTTTCCTGCCAACGCTCTTGGTAAAATAGATGTGGATGCTAACGCGTGCATTCAGTTGTTTATTTTAATTCGCTTAGCACGTCTCAATATTTATAGACACCGGTTTTGTTTTTGGGGTTCATATAGAGGACGTGGGATATAGACGTTAAACATTTTGCTTTTCCTTTCAGCTCCGACCGGCTGATAGAGGAGACTATAAGGTAAGACCAGAAATGGCGTTTTTCAAAGTGGTCCCACTGCATCGCCTCCGCTGGCCCCCACGCCGGAGGACCCTCGCACTGCCTGTCCCCCACCCCAGAACCCATGGGCTTTAACATTACCCCGGAACTAGAAAACCCACCCCCTCCCACCTCCCCAGAATCCCCAGTTCCCGGGCCCCAGAAGGGCCTTCTGGAGAGTTACCCTCTTGTGACCAAGAGGTCTGAATGATTCAGCAACTTCAGGGCCAGCTTTTTTACTTGTTTATATTAAAAAGATAGTGGTTTTTTGGAAGGGGAAAGCCTAGTATTTTAAAAAGTACTTACGGAGGTGCTGCCTGGTCCTGTCTCTTGGGGTGGCTGCCCCAGAGGTCCAAGATTTGCCCCCCCCCCGCCCACAGGTCCCTTCCAGCAGCACTCTCCCAATGCCCCGTTTGTCTCTCTGCTTTCCTCGCGTCTTACTGTATTCTAAAGATACGGTGCCAGATTCCTGCCGCCTACAGTGCTGGACAGAAAAAGGTTTCCCCCCCAAAGAGTTTTACTGCTGGGAAGGCAAAGGGGCATTTGCTAAGGTGGCTGAAGAGGGCCATCTTGGGCAAACAGAAGGGGAAGGGAGGTCGCCTCCGAGTAAAGGACGCTTCCTCCAGCCCCCCGGTGTCCAGAGGCAACATGCAAGGCAAAACTCGGATTCAGACCAAGGAGCCCGCAGTGAAGTGGGCTGAGACTTTGGGCCGGTCCCCTGATTTCCTGGAGGCTCCCCCGTTTCAGTTCTGATGAGCTTGGCTGTGGGGAAACCAGGGGGGTTATCCGGTATGGCTGCCTGTGGAGGCGCCGTTCAGGGAAAGGCATTTTTAACCAGGGTTGAAGCTGATGAAGCAGGAAGCTCTCATTCTCAGCCAGAGAAGACCGGTTGAGAAAGGAGGGACAAAGAGTTGGGGTTTGGGCTGTTGCTTGGGAAAAGCAGGAGGAAGAGGGGACGGATTGAAACCTAGCAAAGAAAGATGGATTCTGGGCGCATCTTTCCATGTGAGGCTTCCTGATGCCCTGCAGCGAATCTACTTCTCTAACCTCCTTGATCTTTGGAAAAGCAGCCCTGGGTAGCGGCCAGGAGCTCGTGCAGGGAACACCCCCACACCCCCTGCACCAAGATAGCGACACTTCTGGGATCGTGGATGAGCTGGAGACCCGCCCTAGATGACCCCCAGCAATCCAAGAATTCTTTGTTCCCCTCCAAGCTTTATCGGCTGCACGAGACCATGGCTTGGCTTAAGCATGCACGCGCACCCCTTTCCTTTTCATGTGCTCAGCAAACTCTGCCAAAGTAACTGGTCAAGAAACCGGAGGGGAGGGGAGAAGACGGGTCACGATCCAGATGGTTGCATTTACAAGGGGTGTCTTCCAACCCTGCTGGCTGGGGAATCCTGGGAGTTGAAGTCGAAGTTGGGAAACACTGGGCTAGCAGTCCCTGCCTTGAGCAGGGTTGGTCTGGATGACCTCTCTGGTCCCTTCCAGCTTGCTAAAGCTGGCTAAAGAGACTCTCTTTTCAGCAAACCCCGAACACTTCACAGGCCTGGGCTGCACCTTGGGGAGGCTGAATTAAAGGGGGCACGTGCCCGAGGTGGTCGGCCTTCCCCCAGGGCCTTGCTGGGGTAATGTTGGGGAAGGAGAGCTCTGTCTGGGTCTCAGGAGGGGACAGCAGCGCTGACTCTGCGGTTTAGGCCGTGCTGGCTTTCACATCGGCCCTTTTCCTCCTGCAAACAGATGGTTTTTCTGTCCTACACCCCCCCCCCCCCTCCTCACCCCTTCTCCTCCT